CAAGCCTATTTAGAATTCAATCTATTTTTCTCAAAACTTTGACACTATTTACTATATGTTAAAAAGTAAAACTAATTAGACAAGAGAAAATGAGAAAAATGAATGGGTTATGAGAATGTTCTATTTTAAAATTATGCTCTCTCCATTTGTAGGTGACACAAATGTCATTGGTTGATTGGGGGTAGATGCATAGATTACTAGTATAGTAGTTTGGCTATTGGTGTTGCATTATGCTATCAACTCCATGCGATTGGAACCAATTATGGTCATGCTATTTGCTGGTGAGACATTCTTAGCTGATTAGAGGTTAATTTTGGGTCTAGTTAGACTATTGGAGCAACAAAATGTACATTATTGATTGTAAGAATCACATAAGTAGCTCGTAGGTGCTTGTCGTTTTAAGGATATAATTGTATTCTAAAACTTCTGCCTTATCAATGAACTAGATATTCATGTGTTGTTGCTAGGGCTGTCAAAACCACTTGTTGCGAACAACTTGTGTTCGACTTGTTAAGAAGTTCGTGTTCGGCTCGTTCACTAAGTTAACGAGCCGAACACGAACAAAGATTTATTTGTTCGGCTTGGTTTTAACTCGAAATACTACTCATCAAATATATATATATATTAATGAGTACTATTTTTAAAAAAATTAATTGACTACGAGGCTACAAACATTTATAATCAATTAAAAGTATTAATTAAGAAAATAGAATAAAAATTATTAAATCAGATTCAAATGATGTTTTAATATAAACAATAATTTCTAAATCTTGCCCCAACCCTTAACATCTTATGGCTACGTGATTAGGGTTGTCAAAATGACTCTTTTTTCGTGAACAACTTTTGTTCGGCTCGTTAAGCAAATGAGCGGAATACGAGCACACTTTTTGAGCTCTAAATATAAACGAGCCGAATACGAGCTGAGCCTGGACTCACTCGTGTTCAGCTCGTTTACACCCCTAGTTGTTGCTTGAATTTGTATCATGTGATTGAGAGTTTGAGGGTGCTTGACATGTGTATGTAATGTGCTTATTTGTCAACTTAATTCTACTTTTTTGTATGTTTATATTATGCTTTTTGGAAGGTTTTTAGTATTCTATTATAGGAATCAGGTAAATGGAGCAACCATAATTCGAAACAAGGAAAAAATGAGAAAAATAGTATTTTGGTGCCTAAGCGTCATAATCAATCTAGAGAAGAGTAAAAACCAAGAGGCCAAAAAGCTGGCCCCGCAAATGTTGCAGTGGGGCACTGGAAATTGGGTGCCCAGGTACTGCACATAGGCGCTTAGGCTTCAGGCGACATAAAATTTGGCCATTTTTCCCAAGTGCTTGGAATATTGGCATTACACATGCAAAGCTTAAGCACTATAGTGCAGCACCTAGGCACTACGACACTAGCATCTAGGTGCCAACCATGGGCGCCAGTACTCACAAATGAATGGTTCCAGCAGTCTGACATGCTTTTTCGTCGGGAGAACTTATATAAAAGATGTAAACAAAGTTATGAGGGCTGTTTTTCATTTTATTTTGCAACTTGGAGCGTGGAGAACTCTTGGGGAAGGTCAAACGACTTACAAGAAGTTTTGGAGAGAAGAAAATAGTGTTTGGGAGGATTGAAGTGTAATACTAACTATTTTGTGACTTCATCGAACTACTTATTTGAGAAGGAGAAAAGTACATTCAAGTTGTGTTTTCCTTTGGATATCTCTGTAAAGAGTTGATGAATGATGGTTTTTCTTAATTCAAAATTTGTGTTGATGTGTTTTGTCATGAATCGTGAGTAGTTCTTCTTGTTTCTCCCTTGAATTGGGATGGTGGTTAGATAAGATTAAGGTTGCTTAAGTGATTTGCATGGAATGTTTAAAAGTGTTGTGTTAACTCGTATTCTTAATTTATTTTTGCCTTGCCAGTGGATTGTTGAAACCTTCATGAAAATTGAGGTCCGAAAGAATTTATTGTGGAATGAAAGATTTAGCCACAATCATTAGAATAGAATATTGCCAATGTATTTATGAAATCTTATGGTAGATATTTTCTATTGGTCTCATTAAGAGTTTTAAGGAACTAAAATCATGTCTACTGATCTTCCTTCGACCACCGGAAGGGGATAAGGAAGAATGTTGCTTCTGATTGACACTATCTTTGAATCTTAATTCTCTGCTCTATCCACCACTTGACCATTTAAAAGAGAAATCTTTCACACTTGAATTTCTTAAAGAACTACTTGCTTGCATAGGGTAGACTTGCTTTTCAAATTTTAGGATAGATACTTATTTGAACTTGCAAATTTAACTTTTCAGGCTAGAACTGACATTACTAAACTAGAATTGCAAAAAGTTGGGTTCATCTCGTTCCCTGCGGAATGAAGACCGGAACTCTAAACCTTACGCGACGTATACTTGTGTGAGTGACCAGTGTTTCGCAGTACTTGGAGCGTGTCAGTGCTTTGTGGTTATACATATTCATTGCAGCAATAAATTTTGAAAGTTAAATGTTTTAAACCAACAATTGAGACTCCATTCTCCTTTACTCTTAGAGTGATCAGGTTTTTGCTTTTTAATTATTCTACTTAATATGTATATAATTTTTATGAAATATCGGGAGTTATTATTTTATTGGAATTTGATGGCATGTTTAAGCAAATGATTTTGTTCTATAAGATTTTCTTTAATTATTTTTATTCTTGTTTAAATCAAATGTTAAAATTTTCATCCTTTAAATTTTATAGATGTTTCATAGTGACAAGAGTTCAAATGCACCTTCTTCTTTCCAAAATGAAGTGCTGACCCCAAAGTAGATGCTGTTGGTGAAGTGGTACTTCAAGTAACACCCCACCAATTGAAAAAAAGAAGAGAAAGCCAGTACATCCAAGATCAGATGTTTGGAATTACTTTACTAAATACAAAAATAATGATGGGGAAAAAATGAGTAAATGCAATTATTGTGGAAAGAACGGGGCCATAAAGCATAGAGATTTGACTAAAATAATGTTAGGAAGGCTTTGGCAGTTATGCTTATTATTGGTGAATTACCTTTTAAACACGTTGGGGGATACAAGTTTAAATATTTTATGTCACAATGTTGTTCAATATTTCAGATTCATTCTCATTGGACACTCACCCGTGATTGTTTTCAATTCTACATAAGATTAGAGGGCTACTTTGAAACAAATTTTTTAAGGAAACATGCAAAAGAGTGTGTTTAACAATTGACACACAAACATCCATCCAAAGAATTATTTGTATGTATCTCACCCGTCATTACATTAATGAAAATTAGAAATTAGATAAAAGAGCAATTATTTTTTGTCCAATATATAGTCATAGAGGTAAACCTTTTGGACAATAAGTTGAAAAATATTAAGTTAATTGGAGCATTGATGTAGTCTTTTCAATTATAGTTAATAATGCAAGTTCCAATAATGACATCATCAGTCATTTGCAAAGGAAGTATTGGATGTTGCAAGTTTCAGTCAATTATAAGCGCCTCTCTAATTTTATTTCCGCTCGACAATTTTTTTCCATTATTTTAACCACTTTATAGTTTTTTTTTCATTAAAACTACTGTATTTTCTATACTCTCAATGAAATATATATTTATTAAGCGAATCATCCATCATTTCTCATTGAAACTGTTGTATTTTCTTAGTTCTATTTGTTTGTCCATTTGTTAATTTTTTTTCCATTATTTTACCAACTATGATTCCTATGCATACATACAACCTGAGGTAGTTTACTCTTTTTGTCAAAATTCTGATTTTTATAGCTTTTGGCTTGAGCATCAATTGCTGCTAGTCTACTGCCGCAACTTATTTAATACTTGATAGGTCCCTACTACTTATTTACAATAGTTTTCTTCTTTAAAAAAACTGCAGGTTTTCGACTACCTTTTTTTTGTGTTTTACTTCTTATATGTTATATTTTGTGTATAATCAATCTACTTGATTTGCTTATTATACTAAATTTTGAGTTTTTTATTCTGTTTGCTTTTATGATTAATATATACTATAGGTAATATTTTTTGTTAAATATTGAACTCTCTTGATTATTGGTGGACTGATGCTTCTTTGTTCTTGTTTTTGGATTTTTAACCTATCATATCTTGCCATGGATTTATGTTTGGAGTTAAAAGGTGATTATAAGTAGAAAGTGACATTGCCCTAGTGTTCAACAAATGTTTTCACAGTTTCCTCATTGATTCAGATTGGAACAAAAAAACAATAACAAACTTTAGATTCATGTTTGTACTTAAAAGATGATTATTAGTTAAAGTAATGTGATTGTCAGTTCATCAGACTTTGCATAGTTTCTTCTTAGTATTAGTTTATTCCTTATTGAAACTACTGTATATGCATTAACCATCAAGTGAATGCATTCAACATAGCAGTTGAGGCGAATCAGGCGATGTATCTGCATTTATAACTGTTATGGAATGACTCATATACCATATCGGGACAGACGCTGGATCGAAGCGGAGCGGAATAATCCGTCTAAATTGGGAAATTACGTGTGTTGGGGTGCAGGGGCAAAGCCCTGCGGTATGGTACAGGGGTAATGTTGTAATTATATGTTATGCCTAGGTTTACTCCTGAGGTTATAAATAGGTCTGTTACTGTTAGAACCCCAGGAGGTATTCCTCTATTCTGTAACGTCTTTTCTGAATATTGAAAGGAACTCGCCGCTCTACTCCCGATGATGTAGGCATCTTTGCCGAACCTCGTTAATCTCTGTGTTCTTCTGGATTTGTGTCTATTACAGTTTTTCTTCGCCCTAATTTTCTCAACAATAACCAATGGAGATAACTGATATTTACATTTCTTATACATATTAGTATGTTTTCGATTATATCAGATTCTATAAATATATACAATTTCATTGTTCCATATTCCAATAGAATAATGCCAACACATGTTAAATTGATGGTTGTAATCTAAGATTAAGTACTGACATGAAATTATTTTAATTTTGGATTAATATTATCAAAATTTAAATGTTGCAGGGATGATCCTATTTTTACTCAAGAGGCCAAGGATGGACAATCTGAACAAATGATCAAAAAAGTCAAGTCTTTTGAAGATTTTTTAAATTCTAAGGATTCAGAATAGTGAAGACAACAATTTTGTTTAAATTATTTATGATAAATGATACAAGGAGTTCAACTAATTATTTGGCTTTATTTTTAGGTTATTGTAATGAGCAAAGTATATATTTTGGATGATTTTTTTTTTAATTTAAGAAAATAAAATGTTTTTTTTATATATGAATTGTTTATAGAGCATGTAATGATTAAATTTCTCTATATTGGACTAGGCTAATGATGTCAATGAATCTAATGTTTTTGTTATTTCTTTTGAGAATTGCACCAAATAGGAAATTGATCTTGCTAAGTTTGAAAAATTGATACAAGAAAAGAGAGAGGCTTTGAAATCTTGGTATATTAAGTTGTTATTTAAATGAGAAAAAAATAAATGATTATTAAATTGTTCAATGTAGTTCAAATTCAAGTTTATTTTAAATCGAAACATTCAATCCAAATTGATTCTCTATTTGATCATTTCAATTTGACCAATAACAAAAATGGTTTAGGTTCTGAATTTCAGCTTTTAGAATGCTTTTGTTTGAGAGATTTTAGAAAAATCTATCAAAACCGACCGAATTCACCACCCTATATTCATTTGCAGGTTTAAATTGAATCGAACTATGAAAATTTTGATAGATGATATTGCTGATTTTCTAAGAAGAGAGATTTGAGACTGTTGAGAAAATTAGGGTGAAGAAAAACAGTAATCGACACAAATCCGGAAGAACACAGAGATTTAATGAGGTTCGACAAAGATACCTACGTCATAGGGAGCAGAGCGGCAAGTTTCTTTCAATATTCAGAAAAGATGTTACAAAATAGAGAATTCCTCCTAGGGTTACTAACATGCCTATTTATAACCCCAGGAATAAACCCTAGACACAATATGTAATTACAGCATTACCTCTTTACCGCGGGGCTTTGCCCCCGCACCCCAACCCACGCAACTTCCCAATTTTAACAGATTCTTTCGCTCCGCTTCGCTCCGTTTCGATCTAGCTTCTGTCCCTATATGGTATATGAGTCATATCATAACAGAGACCATGTCAAAGATCGAAAGTTGTGAAAGCTTCTCAACAACCGCAACACCATATTGTAAATTTTGACCAAATGTCCTCACGAGGAAGGTCGATAAGAGTTGTTAATGCAAAAAATATCTTTAACCGAGTGAGTACATAGTTTAGACGATCTTCTCATATTTGAGCGCTTAGAATACGTCATGATTGAACAATACTCTACCACGAATTAATCTCATGTGCTAATGAAATTGACATGATTGGCAAGCTCTTCTAAGAAAAAATTTCTTCAAGAGTAAAGCTATATTGTTTATTCACTCTAATAAATCTCTAAATCTTAAAAATTGTTGGTTATATGCATATATGTTCATTTAAAAATTAGACATTTACTTCGATGCAATTATTAACATTTCTCTAAAGAGTAGAAGCTAGAAAGAAATCAATTAAACATATTATTAATACCAAAATATGTCTAATGTCCCAAGTAAGCATACTTCATAACATGGGCCGCCGTTATCTCATTCATTTTAATGCCCTATAATATAACCTTTATATATAAGCATCAAATATAATATAACAAATCATACACTTCAAAAACAATTGTATGAAATTTTATATGGACTATTTATGATTAGATTTATTTCATAGTAATATAGATTCATAGGTTTATTTTAGAAGTTTTTTTTTTCTTCATGTTTTGCATTAATCTATTATAGATTGTTTATCTTTGATAAATGTTTATTTTTATTTTATCATTTATATTTACATCTAAGTTATTGTAATTTTTTAACTATGCTCTATTATATTATGATTATTATAATATAGCTTTTAGATTGAACTTTATTTGCTACGGCAATTAAGGGTCTGTTTGATGCAGTTGTAGTTTATTGAATAATTTGTTGATAATCTGTTGATAAACTAGATGTGATAGCTACTACAAATTTTTATTTTTTTGGAAAAGCTAGACCGCAGCCAGAAAACTGTCACCGCACCTAGACATGTACGGTGTGAAAACTCTGTTTTCAGTGTTTTGAAAACGATAAGCTACCAAAATGCAGTTTACCCAAACAGGTCAGGTGTGTTTTCAAAACACTACCGCACCAAATAAACTGCCCCAAACTGACCCTAAATTTCACTTTATTTTGTGGGTATTATAGCTTTTAATTAATTGCATTGTAATGTGTTCTAATTAGTGTATTATGATCATCGAATGGCACTCTTAACTTAACGTTGGTATATTTCTAATGTGATTTAAATATAAATGAGTTTTATAAATAAGTATAAAAAATCAAATATTATAATAAGTAAAGAATATCCATTAGAAAATTATTATTATTGTTAAATAAGAGAATATTTAAGTAGGCATCACTGGAAGAGTGTAAACTAGTTGAGCCGAGTTTGAGATATGCCATTATCAAACTCGCCTGTCAAATTGTGAGCTCGAGCTCTTGCTGGAGTCGAGTTCGCATGGCGAGCTCTAGCTCACCTCAAAGTGGCTATAACAAACTCATAAGTTCGATTCATATCAGAGAAGGTATTGGTGGCCGGTGAAAGAGGAGGATGCAGCTTATTGGAAAAAAAACATTAAAATGAATAGAGTTAGGCTAATCGAGTCAGCACGTGAGCCAACTAAGTCGAGTCAGGATGTCTCAAGCTCATTTAATAAACAAGCTCAAATTGAAGGTTGAACTTTCGGTTCATGAGCTCATTAACAAGCGAGCTCGAGCTTGATTCATTTACACCTTTAATTGGCATTAAGAACACAATGCGCATGGGGAACGGGGACGGCGACGGGAATTGTGACTCACCTTGTTGAGAGTTGTGAGGCAGAGCGAGCACCCGGCTGGACCGGATCGGGTGCAGTCCTTCTTGAGCTTCCGGGCCCACTTCTTAGGCGGGGCCCACTTCCGCAGCTCACCATTGCCGGCGGCCTCGAAGGCGCAAGAGAGACGGCGGAAACGGATTCCACAGTAGCAGTAAGCCGCGCCGCAAGTGGCGTTCACGCGCGGGAGCTCCACTCCCCGCGCTTTAATGGCCCGCTCGGCTGCGCTCGCACAGGACTCGGAGTCGTCGGGAAGCAGAGGCAGGTTGCCGGAAGACGAGGGCGCGGCGGCAGAGAGGATCGATGCGGCAGAGGCTGTGTAGAGGGCGGCGGCGAGAGCAGCGTGAGGCGGGGCGGGGGTGGCGGGGAGAGCAGGATTTAGAGATTCCAGCGATGAGGTCGTCGGAGAGGTCGAGGGGGCAGGTGGATCCCGTAGCAGTGGCGGCGGATTGCTCCGGGAACGCAGGGATCGTCGTCGTCGTCGGCGGCACTGCAGTTGGGAAGATGTCGGAAGGCTGGATGGCTGCTGGATCTGGTTGCAGTTGCGCGGGGGGAGAAGTTATGTAAGGGATTTGGGAGGCTAGAATGAGGAAAGAAAGGGAAAGGGGATGCATTTCGTTGCTCGCTTCTTCCTTGCTCTGCTTCAGTTCTGCTTTGGGTTTTTCAAAGGGGAAAGTAAGAGCAGGGTTTTGTTTTGAAGGTGAAATATTTCGGTACATAAGATGTACGTAGTGCTGGGTACATCAGAGGTTATTCTGGTGGTACAGAGAAGTTATATCCGGGTTATACCGGAGGTTATAAGGGGGGCTTATTTAATTCGCCTGAATGTTATTGGCGCTTGGGGGAGTGTTCTGGTCTAGGGTGGAATCGGCCTCTTTTTTGGGAAAATATTTGCGTACATAAGATGTACGCAGCTCTGCGTACATCAGGGGTTATTCAGGGGGTACAATGGGGTTATATCTGGGTTATACCCCCTTGTAACCTCCGGTATAACCCGGATATAACTCCCCTGTACCCCCAGAATAACCTCTGATGTACGCAGCGCTGCGTACATCTTATGTACGCAAATATTTCTCATTTGAGGGGCAAACTGGTTCTCCAGTCCCAATTTAGGAGGGGTTAGAACAACGAAAGACAAAATGATATTTCAAAAGGGGTAAAATTGATATTTCAGGACGGGAAAAAAGACCAAGTTATTCTCTTGTATAAATAAAAATTCGAATTTGAGGGGGGTGGGGGTGCAATTGACCCCTTGGACCCTATTTGAGTCCGCCTCTTGCTATGGTTAGACTAACTTTTTGCTCTTTCAAAACTTAATATCAATTTATTATATTAAAAAGTAAAAATTATAAATATATAGTACACTAAAATATATGCTTATTTTTTTTTTCATTTAAGATTAAATAAAAAGTTTTTCAATGTGAAAAAGGTGCATATACATACATCCCACCCAATTTTTATGTATTTACATATCTAATACCTGAAGTTTAATTTTTACATTTATACCTCCCTATTCTTTCATATCCTATCAAAAGTACCACCATTTTAACTTTTGAAAAGTGAAACACACATTTTTTTTGCACGAGGAAGGTGGTATGTATGTAAGAATTAAAGATTAGGCGTCGGATATGTAAATACATGAGAATTGAGTGGTCAGTATGTAAATCTTCCTAAAAAAAATCACCAGAAACGACAATGCATCAATTAGAGGCTTTGATTTTAGCTAATTAGTCAACTTCAGCCTCTAATTTCCAAAAAGAACAATTCATGCATATTCAACAAATAACCAGAACAAACCTGCTGAGGTCAATAAACTTGGCATATGACCAATTAATCATAAAAAAAATTGCTTCGTTAGCAACAATGAAATATTTTTATTACAGATTTATCAGGGCAAATATTCAAAATAAAATAATATTTGATATAAAAAAAAGATACTTGTATTGAATTGCTTCTCATTCAACAAGAATGTGAATAATAAACAACCTCATAAGTGAGTTTGTTATACTGCTTGTAGCGTACCAGAAGATTCATGACGATAAAGTCATACTTTAACATCCTAGTGTTACGTGAAGATCCAACACATGCAAAAAAGTAGCAGGAGGAGACGTTGAGATTTTTAACATGTCAAAATA